CGTAATGGTGAGTATGTCAGAGCAAACATTGCTCATGCTGGTGGTGGTGATGATGATGATGATGATGAGGATGATGATGGTGATCAAGGAGCTCGAGACGAGCCAATGGGGGAGGCACAGACTTCAACTCCACCGATCACCTTACAGCGTGTGTGGGAGCGCATGGATGGCATGTACGAGTACATGGGCCAGATGTCCACCCAGATGACTGGCATGTACGACTACATGGGGCAAATGAACGCCCAGATGAGCACAATGCAGCTGACCGTGAATGAGATGCGAGATGAGTGGCGATCTTTCAGCGGAAGATACATGCATCCCACCACATCTGACCACCATGCTACCACCACCAATGAAGAAAATGAAGAAAATGTGAATGAGGGAGAGGGGGGAGATGAGTAGTTTTTAGTTTTATTTGTTTAGGTTTATTTTTATGTTATTTTTTTAGTTTTATTTTTATGTGTGAACAATTATGCTATGATGGTTTTTTTAATTTTATTTTTATGTCTGAACAATTATGCTATTTTATGTGTGTTTTATTTTTAGTTGTTATGCTATGGATTGATGAGTCCTTGTTATAATTGACTAATTATGATGGTTTGAAAAAATATTTTATACGATTAAATTAACCACACAAATCGACATACATAAGCAAAAAAGACACGGGGCATAGGTTGACTTTCTTGTATTCGGTCGACCTCGTACCGGATTAGGTCGACCGAGAAACCAACACTTGATCTCCATTTTACGTCAAATGATTGGACACTTTGATAGAACACTTATCTTCTATCTGGTCGACCTCTTTCCTTATCCGGTCGACCATTTTGTTAATTACTGCCATCAAGTGGTCGACCTATATATTAGGTGGTCGACCATGTTGTTTCTGACGCCAACGAAATGGCCGACCGAGGTTCTATTCTGGTCGACCAAAAATACCAACTTAAACTAAATGCGGTCGACCAGGTAGTCGTGGCGGTCGACCGCAAGGCTTTCTCGTGCTGCCCAAATTAGACTATTCGGTCGACCGCCCTTAGGAATAGGTCGACCGAAAAGTGCATGTCACCGTGACATGCATGTCATAGTAGGCATACCCTATCTTTTATCTTACTCATATCAGTAAATATTTAGCCCATAAATTTTCATCCCTCTATAGAGGTAATATGATTATACAGAGTGTACAATATGTGTATTAGCCTGTATATCACTTCCAATCCTAGCTATGTCCCTCACTTTTCTCAAATACATTAAGTTGATAGCTATAAAATTGAGAAAGCAATAAGGTGAATAGAGACCCTGACCCGGTGAGAAAAACGGCCGCACGCACCCGCCGGGCCGACCGCTATTAGGTACCGGGTTGGAGGTCAAATTGTGTCATTTTTTTCTTTAGTTTGCGAAATGCGCCTATTTTCCAATTTTTCTTTTCGCCTAACTCAATCTTTGGAATACTAAGTTGAACATTTGAATATTTATGTTATATAAGTGTGTGTGAATTTTCACTATATGTTGGATCTAAGTACGATATGTTATTTTGGTGTAATATTATATGTTATAACTCATATGTTAGATAAGATTTGATATAATTTATGAGGATAAGTGCAATATAATGACTCTTTCTATATTTCCGGGCCAAACTGGGCTAAAACGGTTGACCCATTAACCCTTAACCCACTAGCTCGACCGGGTGCGGGTCAACCCGCGGGTTGACAACCTTACTAGGGAGGTAACCAAATTCATGATGCAGGCATTAAAAGATGATGACAACATGGCAAGCATAAATTGGCATTTAACCAAGTGGCTTTAGAAGCAAAACCTGTTTTGTACACGTGGAGTCCCCAATCAATGCAGGAGAGGAGATACTCCTCAAGGCCTTCACTTCACTTCCTGTTACCCACTTTTTTGCTCTCTCATGTTTTTATAATCCCAAAATCTCCTCTTGCATTCGATACTCAAAGATAGAGAAGAAGGTTAATGCAGGTTAGATTACTTTTCCATGTATTGGTCAGACTCATGATTCCCCTTTCAAGTTAGTTACTGATCTCAAATGGATCAACATGAAGGAGATTAATAAGTCAACATTCGCAAAGTTCATTTCTACTTTCCTCTAGCAGCATAGGTGAATTTTGAGTGTGATAGCAGCAGCAGCGTAAGGGATAGAAAGCTGGATTCTGCATATGTTTAATCTCTGGTGTACCAGGCTTTCGGGCCCCAACATGCCAATCTTTGTTTCTCCTCTGTCAAGGCAAAAGAAAAGCAAAGGAGGAAACTTCTTGTACCCCTCGCTCGCGTTGGCTGTCCTGCCTGAACCAGAGTTGCAACAAAGCCTCTCTCCCTTTCATTGGCAAGACATTCATGAACACTGCCTTTTTTACAATCTTAGAACAATTGCTTCCCTTTAAATATTGTTTTCGAGTACTTCAAGCTCTCCTTTTCTTACTTATAGTCTAAGAAGGAAATTGAAATGTGTCACCAATTTTCTTTAGGGACCACAGGAGTTGTCAGGGGATTGAAATCTGGCGGAAGGGAAGGGAAAGACAAGACAACCAACAATTTGCCCTCAATTGCGGCGCATGTTGGCAGGGGACTGATCTTCATATTGGAGCAAGATGATGATACCATACCGATCTTTTGTTGCGCAGCTGGGCTCTTTTTCGCCAACTTGTATTTACTTGGGATCTACATATTGGATGAAGATGTATTTAAACCAATGATCGGTGGAGGTGAAGACCAAACCGGGGAGAAACTCGGAAGATGGGGCAATAGGAAACAAAGGGATATGAGGTTTGTGGTTCCTGAAACGCTGTCGCAGGAAGGTTTGTGAGTTTGGAGACTAAACGCGCTGCATCAATTAAAGGAGGGTGAAATGTCATTTATACCCCTCCGTGAAACCCTCTAGTTGTAGCAAATTCAAAATAGAGAAAATCTGATAGATGAATCTCTATCTTATATTTTGTAGATAGATAGATGTATCATCACAAGTTCACATCTCGTATTCGATATCTTATTTTAAGTAGTTCTCATATTATTCATTTTGGAGGTGGAAAAAGTGTGGCACCAGTGCCGATTTTTCTTATTGGTCCACCTAGACTCTTATGTGGCACTGACCGGACTTATTAAACTTGTGTTAAACCAGCATCCCATGAGTAGTGGCCCAAAATTGCTGCTGCCCACACAGACGTAAAAGCGCTTTTTGTTTTGTTTTGTTTTTTTTTTCATTTAATTTCTTCCAGTTTAATTCAATTGGCCATTTTATTTGCTTTTTGCTAGAAACAAAGAAATAGAACAACAAAAACACTTGTTCTTCCTCGATATCCCACTCCGGCACGGTCTATAACCACTTTTGGCGACTTCTCCGCCTTCACCGACTCTTTGTTTCTGTCGAATTGGGCCACTGTCACAATACCAGACAATCCCAAGTCGAAAAAGGAGAGAGTTTCCCTCCCTCTACGTCGCCCCCTCGCTTTGTGCAGTCGCTCTTGCTCTGCGCCGTCCCAGTTGGAATCGTCGGAACCAAGTTTGTGAAGGTGCATAACGACTTTCTCACCGAATTAGAAGGCATCAAGGTCGGTAAACATCATCTATCCTTCCCCAATCCCTCCTTTGTTATCACGCTAAGGTATGACGAATTCGACATCTCTAGATTGATTTATGTTTACGGTTTTCGATGCTTCTGGGTCGCAGTGGAGCAAAATTAGCTCTTGAGATGAGACTTTTGTTATGCCATTGCGTTCGCTGCTTTCCCAATTGGTCCAAATAGACAAACGTGAGCAGCATGCTGAGTTTTAGCTAGAGGACTCTGTTTCTCAAATTCTAGAAGAACAGTTCAGAAGCTTGTCTGGAGATGTAATCACTCACTGGAAAAATCAGCTTCAACAACGTCCAACATCGACAACGCAAAGCAAAGCAAAAGGAATTACACAGAGCGAGGGGGCGGCGTTGAGGAGGATACTCTCTTCTTCCTCGATTTGGGATCACCTGGTATTGTGATGGTGGCCCAATTCGACGGAAACAGAGGGCTAGTGAAGACAGAAGTTGTCGGAAGTCTAGTCCACCGGAGAGGAATATCGAGGAAGAACAAGTGTTTCTGCCTGTTGGGTTCGTTTGTCTAGTTCTTTGTTTCTGGAAAAAACTAAATAAGTTAAAGTGGAAGGAATTAAATGAAAAAATATATATAAAAAAAAAACAAACAGACAAACGACGGTGCTTTTTTGTTTGTGTGGGCAGTTGCCATTTTGGTCACCACTCATGGTCCACTCGGTTTGACAGAGGATTAGTAAGTCCAGTCAGTGCCACATCATAGTCTAGGGGGACCAATCAGCAAGAGCGACACTGGTATCGCACTTTTTTTAGCGGCACCATAGTATTGGCTTTGGTGCCACCTTCATAATTTGCGTGGCATTAGTTTCACTCATTTCTCGATATATTCAAAGATCCGAAGTGATAAAATGAGGAAATCTTAAGAAAGGATTATAGAGAAAAGGCGAGTTTGCATAACAGTTTCGAGGGGGTTCCTGACGGTGTGGAGCGATTTTGGGGTGGTTAACGACGAGTGGTTGTCGCTGATGGGGCGTTTCTCCAACGCCCCTTGCTCCGGTTCCACTTTCCGGGTAATCACGTAGTCGTGGGCATCACCTACGCAAGTATACAAATCGTCGCATGAGTCTAGGAGAGAAAGGTTAGGAGGGGAAGCGATTAGTTTCAATCTATTCTCTGTTTCCCATCGCTCTGGTTCCTTTGTTCATGTGCTTCAGAAGCCATGGGCATCACGCCCGCGCGAGGAGCGGATGGAGGTTTGCTTCTTCTTCCTTTCTTCGGTTTCTGGTCGCCGTCGTGTCTTCGACGCTCAAGAATTGAGGATCTCGATCGTAACCATGATTGATAATTCTAAGGAAGTCGTGGGTGTCCCCACGCACACTCCCCTCCTATTGATGAGTGATTACATTTTTTGAGGGGTGGATCTCTTCCTTCCAAAGCCTATATGCTTTTGTTCTTCACTTGTAGGATGAAAATGTTTATTTTTCCTTCTTCAAGTAGTATACTTGTTGTGGCGGCTTTGGACAACGGATTATGACTTTGCTGGGTTGATTATTCGGATTTTCATGCAGATCTTTGGAAGACTTCTGCAACTCGAGCGGCTATGGTGGACTTTGCTCATTGCATGGATTAGGCTGTTCGTATTGTTTTTGCGGGTGCCGTAGTTTGTACTTTTCTGGGTTCAGTGGTTTGTGTTCCATGGTTACAGAGCGGCTCATTTGGTGGCCACTCAAGCTCTATTCTTGTCGCCTCATTTGTTTGATGTTGGACTTTGTTTCTTTGTTTCGCAGTAGACACGATTCTGTTGTATGCAAGGTTGTCGACCCGCGGGTCGACCCACTTTGACCCTGGTCCGGTGAGAAGAACGGATCGCACGCACCTGTCGGGTCGACCGCTACAAGGTACCAGGTTGGAGGTCAAATTATGTCATTTTTTTCTTTGGTTTGCGAAATGCGTCTATTTTCCGATTTTTCTTTTCGCATAACTCAATCTTTGGAATCCTAAATTGAACATTTGAAAATTGATGTTATATAAGTGTGTGTGAATTTTCACTATATGTTGGATCTAAGTACGAAATGTTATTTTGGTGTAATACTATATGTTATAACTCATATGTTATATGAGATTTGATATAATTTATCAGGAGAAATACAATATAATGACTCTTTCCATATTTCTGGGCTAAACCGAACTAAAATCGGTGATCCATTAACTCTTGACCCACTAGCTCGACCGGGTCCGGATCAACCCGCAGGTTGACAACCTTGGTTGTATGCCTACAAATTTTTGTTTGTTCCTTTTAGGTTAAATGCCACATTTGGTCACTAAAATTACTAAATCGTGTCATGTTTAATCACTAGAAAAATTTAATATAAATTTTGATCACTTGAATTACTGTAACATGTCACATTTAGTCACTCTCCCGTTAGCCTCCGTCCAACTTCAGTCACTCGAATTACTAAAACATGTCACATTTAGTTACTCGAATTACTGAAACAGATCACATTTAGTCACTCTCCCGTTAATGGAGTTGGAAATGGAGTTGGACGGAAACTAATGGAAGAGTGACTAAATGTGACCTGTTCCAGTAATTCGAGTGACCAAAATTGATATTAAATTTTTTTAGTGACAAAAATTGACACGATTTAGTAATCTCAATGACTAAATGTGGCATTTACCGGTTCCTTTTATTTAAGAGTGATCTAATGAAAAAAAAAAAATATTAAGGGTGCTGTAGGCCCAAGCCCGCCAAAACTCCAAACCAAGCCCAATAATATCCACATCGTTCATTTCACCGCTTTACCGACTGCTAGGCCAGAAGTTGCAGATGCCGGATAGTTCATTAATTTCGTAAGGGTCGGAACGAGAACCGATTCGACCCGGCCCGCCTTCTCCGCCATCTCAATCCGCTGGATCAGCATTCATTTCCGGTCAAGCGAAAAAGAAGCGCAGAAAAAAAATCTGAGCTATCACAATTCACAAGCAAAGCTTGGTTGCTCCAGCCATGGCGGCCTGCTTGCGAGTGCTCCCGGCGGCTTTCTCCACGCCGTCTTCCGCTGCAAATTCGTCTTCTCTCCGGAGGAGGAGCTTGAATATTGGTTGCTCAGCCACGGGTTCCAAGAACTCGGCTAGAATCCCTATGCCGCCGATTAATCCCAACGATCCTTTCCTCGCGAAGCTCGCCGCCGCCGCCGCCAATTCTCCTGAACCGCTCGACACTCGTCCTTCTAGCTCCGACTCGCCGCCGTACCTCGACCTCTTTGACTCGCCCAAACTCATGGCGACTCCCGCTCAAGTAAGCTCCCTCGATGTTCATCGTTCTTGACCTCCTCTTTGCAGTTCCGAGTAGTTCTAGTTTGGTTCATTTGCTGATTGTTCGCGGAATTAGGTGGAGAGGTCGGTTTCTTACAACGAGCACAGGCCAAGAAAGCCACCGCCGGACTTGCCTTCGTTGCTGCTTCACGGGAGAATAGTCTATATCGGGATGCCTGTAAGTTAATTGAACGAGAGTCTGTTTCCTGGAATTCAACTTCAGCTTGTTCCATTAAGTGCTGGCCTGTGCTTTCTTTCGTTCATTCTCTCTTTGTGCTCTGCAATCCGGTTCATTCTGGTTGATACTTGGTTGTGCTTGCGTTCAGTTGGTACCGGCAGTCACAGAGCTCGTAGTTGCAGAATTGATGTACTTGCAGTGGGTGGATCCTAAAGAACCAATCTATATGTACATAAATTCCACAGGGACTACTCGTGATGATGGTGAAACAGTAAGGATTGCTTCTCAGTATGTCTAATTATGTATACGATCGTTTGAAGTTTTGATCTGTTAATGAGTGGACACATGTGGTTTTTACTAATTACTATATACTGAATAGATAATCTTTGTGTCATGGTTATGTTTCATCTGCTGATATTGATCAGGCTGTAGTCAGATAGTTTTTGATTGTGTATGGAACTGACAGATGGGCTGAATTAGGGAGTATATTAGTCCTTGGTGTAATTTTTTTCTGGAGTTAACTAGTTCCTTGTGTGTATCAGAATATAAGATCTTTGCTTAATCTACCGTGTTTCTCTTTCCTGCAGGTTGGGATGGAGACGGAAGGTTTTGCCATCTATGATTCGATGATGCAAATGAAAAATGAGGTGAGTTTCTTAGCCAAGTAAAGCTTCAGTATTTGGAGAGGTTCAGTAGATGATGTTATGCAGAATCCTGTATGCTGCTGGGCACCCTTTTCTTTCTTTGGTTGACTGTTTGCCTAGGGATAACTGTAGAGTAGTTTAGATAACTAAATCAGGAGAGGTAGGTTGAAGTGATCTGACGACATTCTGATTATTGCCACCAATGCAGCACTCTTTTAATGGAATGGGACGGTTTAATTTGTTAGTAGATAACGTCACTGATGTTGTTGCTTCGGTAGATACACACGGTTGCTGTTGGTGCTGCAATTGGTCAGGCTTGTCTTTTGCTTGCTGCAGGAACAAAGGGAAGACGTTTTATGATGCCACATGCCAAAGGTATTAACTATTAACCCTTGTACTTCTTACCCTGTTCTGAGTTAATACCTCTCACTCATCTAATCGATTATTGGGTCAAACTTCATTTCAGCAATGATTCAACAGCCGAAAGTCCCATCGTCAGGTTTGATGCCTGCTAGTGATGTTCTAATCCGTGCAAAAGAGGTTAGTTAGATTCACTTAATCTCTGGACTGCAGTTAAACGGTTGATATTGCTTATGTTTTCTCTCTTGTTTGTTCAGTGCTTTCCTCTACTTGATGGGCCAATTTATTGCATTTGATTGATGTATAGAGGTGACTAGATGCGGTGATGAAACATTTCAAAAGCATTCTAAGAACACCATAAATTCTTGTGATTTTTTTCCAAGGAAAGATGTAAAGCTTTCCCGGAAAAATGCTGGGACTCTTTTAAGCTGGTTTGTGACTATTCTCATGCCTTAAGTAGTCGTGTATTTTAGGTATGGGACCTTGCCTTTGACAGGCTATAACGAACAGAGCCACTCTCGTTTAATGATCTGTATCTGTTGAAGAGTAAGACTAATAGTAACATGGGAAGAATGCTAAAAACATTCTGCATAATTAACAATTTCTCTTTCATGATATATATTTCTGTTTCATTATGGCAGGCTATAAGTAACAGAGACACTCTGGTTGAGCTTTTGGCCAAACACACAGAAAACGTGAGTATGCCTTCACTAATCAATACTTCCTCCTTCTCAATTGTCCTTCTACATAGTATGCTAAGCAATATTCTGGGAACTGATTACACTCTTTTATCTTCAATCAGTCCGTGGAGACCGTGGCTAATGTGATGAGAAGACCATTCTACATGGACGCCAAACGAGCCAAAGAATTTGGTGTCATTGACAAAGTAAGTCCACACTTGAAATGGTGTGTATGTTTTGAGCTATATTAAGTAGTAGGTGACTTTTTCTTAAGTTTCTTTAGTTGAAGTTAAGAAAAAGTGTGGTTGGATTTTTTTTTAAAAAAAAGTTGAGTTTATGGTTGGATTTAAATCAACTTCTTTTCTTTTAGCCAAAACAAACACACCTTTCATGTTTCATATTTGTCATCCCATGTTCAAGTGTGGCAAACTCATCCATTTGATCTCTAATGCTCTCGAAACCTTCACAGATTCTATGGCGCGGACAGGAAAAGATAATGTCGGACATTTTGCCTCCAGAGGAATGGGACAAGTTGGCTGGCATCAAAATCCCAGATCCCTTCTAGTTGCCGCATTTCCGGTTCAATTGTACTGGTTCTTGTTATACTGTAAACAACTTCAATTTTCTCAGCTTCCATGGCCTCCAGAGCATATAAAATCCTGGAGGTTTTAGCTCTCAATAGATGGCTACTAGTTTTCTGTCAGACTAGGGAAAGAAACAACACTTTGGTGATGTGTAGCGCGTGGAAATGATATCACTGGATGGCCATTGTTACTTAGATTGATATGGCAGATTCTTCTCTAAATTTTGCGGTTGGTTAGTAAAGAAAATAGCTAACAAGGCGAGTAACAAGCTCGTAACAAGTTAGTTGCGAGGGGCGTGATTCAGTCGAAGGTCTGTAAGGTTTCATGCACATGTTGGGTGCTCGTTGTGAGAGTTGATTCTCTCTCCTAGAATTGTTAGCAGGATCTGTATTTGTGGGCTGTATGTTTTTGTACTTGTTACGTATTAGTACGAGGCCCATTAGATAGACGATCCATGTACGTGAGCCCATTAGACCCATGCATGGGTGCCTGGACGAGAGTAGTGGGCAACCATAGGGTTTCTGATTCTTCCTTCTGTGCATGATATATATTGTATAGATAGTGGCTGTAAGGGTACATACAATTTGGAATACGATCAGTAGTTAGAAGAGTGTTCAGAGCTCTTCCGTGGATTAGTCCTGGATCATTCCAGGGATACCACGTAAATCCGGTGTCAGTGTTCAACGTCATTACTATTTCAGTTTGATAAACATGGTATCAGAGCTGCCGCGAATGAATTCCGATCGTCCGTCTGTTCGTCTGACCTCAACAAATTTCGCCCTGTGGGAGTTTCAATTCCGAGTCTTTGTCGAGGGTCATGGTATGCTGGGAATCCTCGATGGAACCGTACCTCAGCCACGCAACACCCTTCCAGCCTCCGAGATCGATCAATGGGTTCAGCGGGATGCCCGCGTGCGTTCGTGGCTGCTGGATTCTGTGGATCCCTCCACTTGTTTAAGTCTACGTCCGTTTGCGACCTCCCATCAAATGATGCAGCACCTGAAGGCGACCTATTCCACTGTCAACGTCGCTAGGCAGTTTGAAGTTCAAATGGCGCTTGCTCGCCTTGAACAAGGAGACCAGTCGATCACCGACTACTTCAATTCCGCTCAAGAACTGTGGACGGAGCAGGATATTATTGCTGCAGCGCTGCGTCCACAACCCGCTTCTGATGATGCTCTCGCTGAAAGGAAACAAAATCGCCTAATGTGTTTTTTGATGCGGCTCCGACCCGAGTATGAAGCTGTTCGAACTACGCTTCTCAACCAGCCCGACTTGAGGTTTGAAGGCATGCTGGGAGTGCTGATCCGAGAGGAAACTCGGATACGAACACAGGTTCAAATTGACGTTCGTCCAGGTGCAAATGAGTCTGTTTTTGCGGCAACACAATCCCCTGCCGCATACGCTGCCGATAAATTCCAATTTCAGCGTCGAACTCCTATCTCCGACCTGGAGTGTCACCATTGCCATGAGCGTGGTCATTTGAAAAAACATTGCCGCGGCGGGAACTTTTGCGTGTATTGCAAAAGAACGGGGCACATTGTGCTTGACTGCCGAACTCGACAGCGTCAAGAATCTCGCGCAGCAGGTGGAATGGGTGCCTCTCCCTATCACAGCAACTCTTCTGGTCCTGGATCATCTTCGGGGTCGCGATCATATGAGCGACCAGCTGCGGCAGAACGTGCAGATCGCCAAAATCAGCTAGGCCAGCAGCGGCCTGCATACCTGACCGACGCGGGCAGCAGCAGTAGTGTTGGAGGACTATCCGCGGTGGATATCGAGCAAATGGTCAATGCCGCGCTTCAAAGGTCTCTTCCAACAGCAATCAATGCTGCCTTTGCTACTATCCATGGTTCGACGGGTAAGACCTCTCCTTGGCTCCTTGATTCAGCATGTTTCAATCACATGACCCATGATTCGAATTGTTTGACAAAAGTGCTGCCTGTTCATGATTTGTCTTTACGGGTTGCAAATGGTGATCAATTACACGTTCATGGTGTTGGAATGATGAATAATTCACAGCTTACTTTACCTCATACTCTGCACGTACCACAACTTGTTCCTAATTTGGTTTCTGTGGGTCAACTTACCGATGCGGGATGTTCTGTTTTGTTTGCACCGTCTGGCTGTGTTATCCAGGACTTGAAGACGGGGAGGCAGATCGGAAAGGGGAGTAAGCATGGGAGAATTTTTCATCTAGAGGAGCTGGGAGAATCATCATCATCGTCCTTGTCCGTCAGTAGTTATCGTGATAAGTCCGTCAGTAGTCCTGCGTCTTTTCCTACTTGTTTTTCGAGTCAGTCTAGTGATGTTTGGGATCTTTGGCATTCCCGTTTGGGACACCCTCATTCGAATCGTTTAGTTATGATGTTTAAACAGTCCTTGCTTGGCAAAAATAATGCTTGTACCTCTGCAAAACATTCGTGCACAAGTTGTGTAGAAGCAAAAACCATTAGTCGGTCTTTCCCTTCCAGTACCACCATTATCGATCAACCTTTTCATGTTATTCATACCGATTTATGGGGTCCATCCTCTGTTATCTCCCGACATGGTTTTCGTTAATTTGCTTTGTTTATTGATCATGCTACCCGTTTCACTTGGGTGTATTTTCTGCGTCGTAAATCGGAGCTTCAATCTGTTGCTACTGAGTTTCTGAAAATGATCCATACTCAGTTTGATCGGCCTGTGAAAATAGTGAGGTCTGATCCTGGTGGTGAGTTTAGTTCTTTTCCTTTGCATGATGTTTATCGTTCTCTAGGAATTCTTAGTCAAAAATCTTGTCCAGGTGTCTCCCAACAAAATGGCCTAGTAGAACGGAAAAAACCGTCATGTTTTAGATCTTACTCGTGCCCTGCTTCTGGCTTCTAATGTTCCTAGTCGTTTTTGGCCTGAAGCAGTAGCTACAGCTGTTCGTCTCATCAATTATTAGGTCACTCTCATCCTGAACAACGTCAGTCCATACTATGCATTGTATTCCAAACATCCTGATTATTCTCGTCTTCGTGTGTTCGGTTCTCTTTGCTTTGTTCTTCTTCCCAAACGAGAACGTCCTAAACTGTCGTCTAAAACAGCCCGTTGTGTTTTTCTTGGTTATAGTGATGTGCATAAAGGTTACTTATGTTTTGACCCTATTTCTCAACGAATGCGCATTGCTACCACAGTAGTCTTTTTTGAACATCTTATGTTCTATTCTGAACCGTCCACTTCGCCTAGTATCTTTCCCATGTCCTTGTCCTTACCTGCTTTCAGCGATGATGATTTTGATGATGATTTTTCCCATGTGATACCTCCTGCCTCTCCTTCCACCGATCTGTCTTCCCCAGGCGGCGCTTCCTCCAGCTCACCATCGACTCCTTTGCCTTCTCCACACAACATCACGTCCAGCACCTCTAATCCAGCAACTTCTCCCTTGTCCGCCAGCTCGCCATCACCCGTTCAGTCCGCCTCGGCCTCACCAGCGCCTATTCTCCGCCAGTCCACTCGTTCCACAAGAGGTATTCCCCCACCTAAATTCAATGATTATGTGGCTCATGGGGTGGATGCTTTCATTGTTCCTACTCGTTACAAGCAAGCTCAGGGAGATCCTGTTTGGGATTATGCGATGAAGAAAGAGTTAGATGCATTGCATGCTAACAATACTTGGACTCTGGTTCCTCGTCCACCTCCATCGACTTCTGTTGTTGGCTGCCGTTGGGTGTACACGATCAAGATGAATCCTGATGGCACCATTGAGCGGCACAAGGCACGGTTAGTTGCTCAGGGGTTTACTCAGGAGCTCGGTGTTGACTACAGTGAAACCTTTGCTCCTGTTGCTAAGATGTCTACCGTCCATACTCTCTTGGCTGTTGCTTCTCAACAACAATGGCCCTTGTATCAGTTGGATGTGAAGAACGCTTTTCTTCACGGTGATTTAGAAGAGGTCATTTATATGGAACGCCCTCTTGGCTACACTGTTGGTACTGCCGATCAGGTTTGTCGTCTTAATCGGTCACTCTATGGTCTTAAACAGGCACCCCGTGCCTGGTTTGAAAAATTTCAGGCTACTATAACCGGTCTGGGGTATCAACAAAGTTTGAATGATCCGTCTCTCTTCACCCGGCAGACATCGTCAGGATTGGTAGTTCTTCTTCTCTATGTCGACGATATGGTCATTACTGGTTCTGATCTTGCTGGTATTCAGAGTCTTAAAGATGGTCTTAGTGCAGCCTTTAATCTTAAGGATCTTGGTGAACTTTCATACTTTCTCGGTCTTGAGGTTACTCGAAGTGACAAGGGCATTCTTCTCAGCCAACGTAAGTACATTTCTGACTTACTATCTGATCATCAGTTCCATGATTGCAAGCCTGTTTCCACGCCGATGGAACCAAATTTTCGGCTAAGTCGCACTTCTGGCTCCCCTCTACCCGATGCGGCTAATTATCGGAGTCTTGTCGGGAGTTTGATTTATCTTGCTGCTACTCGTCCAGACATCTCTTATCCTGTTCAAGTAGTTAGTCAGTTCATGTCCTCTCCCTGCACTGATCATTTGGCTGCTGTTCATCGCATTCTTCGGTATCTTCAGGGCACTCGCGATGTTGGCATGTTCTTTCCTTCTTCGCGCGATTTTACCCTGCGAGCTTATTCCGATTCTGATTTTGCTGGGTGCGTTGATACTCGCCGCTCTACTACTGGTTGGGCTATTCAGTTTGGGTCTGCATTTATATCCTGGCGTTGTAAGAAGCAGGATAAGGTTTCCAAGTCCTCTACTGAAGCTGAATATCGTGCGATGTCTGATGTGGCTTCTGAACTTGTTTGGTTACGTCGTCTCGTCCGTGATATGGGCGTCATATGTACTCTCCCTATGGATCTCTTTGTGGATAATACGAGCGCTATTCGGATTGCTGTCAATCCGGTTCTTCACGATCGCACCAAGCACATCGAGATCCATGTTCACTACATCCGGGATCTGGTTGGGGATGGTACCATTACTCTTCATTATGTCCGCACAGAAGATCAGGTTGCTGATATTTTCACGAAGGCTTTCTCTCCCAGCAGACATTGGTATCTCTCGAGCAAATTGATGCTTTGTGGACAGCATCAATTTGGGGGAGGCTGTTAGCAGGATCTGTATTTGTGGGCTGTATGTTTTTGTACTTGTTACGTATTAGTACGAGGCCCATTAGATAGACGATCCATGTACGTGAGCCCATTAGACCCATGCATGGGTGCCTGGACGAGAGTAGTGGGCAACCCTAGGGTTTCTGATTCTTCCTTCTGTGCATGATATATATTGTAGAGATAGTGGCTGTAAGGGTACATACAATTTGGAATACGATCAGTAGCTAGAAGAGTGTTCAGAGCTCTTCCGTGGATTAATCCTGGATCATTCCAGGGATACCACGTAAATCCGGTGTCAGTGTTCAACG